AACTCCTAGAACGTTCTGTATAGAATTTATTTGCTTAGTGGTGATTTTTTTTCCTTAATTTAATTGGATGCATTACCCTTTTATGCTAATGCAGCTAAAGGCTTGGCCCAGTGACTGTTACCAGGTCTCTGCCCTGGGTGTCCTGCTGAGGCGTCTGCTGTTCATGATGGCTCCGGACCACCAGGCAAGTACAGCACCAGCATCTTCTGTCATTACTAGAAGAGATTTGAACCAGTGGCCTGTGTTAAAATATCCTCTTTCAGAAGTGCCAAGATGAGTGCTCACCCACTGTCTTTGGTATTGTAGTTGTTATTACTGAGTCACAGTGGATCCCACTTTGTGCAGACTGCACACCTTTCTGAGTGTCTTGCTGGGCAGCAGTGGAGTCCTTTTTCTGACTAAGGATGAAAACAGCAAATCTGGGAGATTTGCTGAAAACTGTGTGTCCTGGCATTGCATCTGTGACTGGTGTTCATGAGTGTTCTCATGACATCAGGTATCAAGAGCAGTGTCCTGTCCTGTCAGTGCCTCTCTTCGTACCTTGGAGAGGCCAAAGCCCTTTCTTCTACTCACTGGGGCCATTGCTTCAAGCAGCTGAAAGAATTAAGTCGTTTAATCATTCTGATGTCCTATATGTGACAAGGGAGGTGGCAGTTCTACAACTTTTTTATATAAAAAGTTGAATTTTGTTAAAGTGAAAGGTTTTACACTTTTTTTTTCCATGTAATATATCTAAAGCAAACCAGCTTTCTGAGAGGTTATCAAGTTGTCTTCTGGCCTACTTAGCTTCTGTTACCTTTTGTTTCCAGGTAGAATTTGCTCATAAGTTTCTTCCAGAGGAGGTGGAGAACTTGGCTGTGTGGCAGCACATATCCCTCAGGGCCCTGAATCCCGACCTCAGGAAGCGAGTGGCAGGTCAGCTGTGCGTGGCCGCGCTCACGCGGTGCCGGCGATGGCTCAACAGCAGGCGCGCCCTGGGAGAACTCCCACCCGTGGTAAAGGAGATGATTTGGTTCTCTTTGTAAAATCTGTGAGCTCTGGATTGCCAAACTGTAAGGATTCTGTTGCTGTCACCTCAGTTTTTCAGAGTGTTTTTTCCATGCCTAATTGGCCTATGCATGAGCAAGAACTCTTCATGTTAACGTTTTCTTCTCGCACACAGCACCTCAGGACCCTCTGCTGTGACAGTGGAGGTCTTGTGGTTCCCAAGTTATTCTAGTTGTTTGCTCTCTGGGTGAGCACATGTATTTTTGTTTAGAATTTCTGATTTATGCTATACCTTAGGATACAATTGCTTTTAAGTTTTAAAGTCCTGGCTGGTTTTACACAGCATCAAATCTGAAAGATGCTCACTGGTCTCCTTGGCGAGGGAGTGTGAGAAACCAGAGGCTTCCACATGAAGTGTCTGCTGCCAGATTCCTCCTGCCAGTGCAGCAAATGTGAGCCTCGCAGGAGTAAGGGATGGTTTCCTTGCTTTGGAAGCTTTATTGGCTGGTGGGCTGCTGGATTAGCTGTGCTGTACAGCTGACACAGCACACTGGGCTTCCTGCCACCTTGTATCATTTTAGATGTTTAACATGAGCCTGGGGTTTTGGGTTGTTTTACATGTAGGTTTTTCTGGTCTGTCTTATACATTTTTTCCTCCTAGAACACTGCCCTTTCTGTCCTGCTGGCTGCCTGCACTTTTGCTGATGACACTCTGGAGGCAGAACTTAAGGCATCTGTCCTGGGAGTGCTCAGTCAGTTCTGGACTCTTCTCCAGGCTAAGCAGGTAAGAGAATTTGCTGCTCCAGTGCTGAAAATATGATGTCTTTGAGAGGCTGGTGCTATTTCTTCACATTGTTGTTACTAATTTGTTTTCCTTGGATTGGACTGTTTCTGTAAAGCACAGTGTAACTGTGCTGCCCATCTGCTCTCAGCTGGTTTATGTTTTGGGCAGGCCTGTGCTCTGGGAAGCTGAGTTTGACTTTTCCTGAATGTTACATATGTGGCTCCTTGTGACTCCATCTGTTACTCAGTGTCAGATTCAGACTCGCTCAAGGAGAAATCTGAAACTCCTCATTCTGATTCACACCAGTTATGAATTTGGTCTGTTTTAAGTGTTCATTGGAATGTGAACAAAACTCACAGTGGTTTGATTAGTGCACAGCCTGGCACCTGGAAACCCACACCCTCCTCCCAGATTTGAGGGGGTCAGGCAATGCCCTTGCAACCGTGTTACCTCTTCATGGCTGCAGCTGCATAAAGAAAAGAAAAAAGGATTGCCATGGTTCATGCTTCTGATTAAAAAAGGAAGTTTGAGAGTGAGGGTGAAGAGGAACCAACAATGTGCCCCTTCAGAGGTCTCTTCCAACCTCAGCTCATGAGGACGTTTGGCAACTAAGAAGTGAAAAGAAATAGTCCAGATAACCTTTAGCTGCTTGTTTTAGTGAGTGGTGGAAGGAGACAAGGGCCAAGAAATATTGTTAATAAAAATCAAAGAAAAGGGTCTTGTAAAATATGACTACCTAGAAGTATTGATATGACTATTGTACTATTTTCTTCTGCTTACAATGCAGTGTTTTACGTGTGTGAAGGCAGACTAAGAATTTTGGAACGCTACTATGACTTGAAACTCTTTCTTAAGTAGTTATTCCATAAGTTAAAATGCAATGTTGTGATCTCTTGAAGGTCTCAGATGAGCCATGTCTCCAGCAGACACTGTGTCTATTACTTCACCTTTTGGAATTTTTCATCCAAGCATTAGATGCTCAACTGATTACTCAGGTAAAAAAAATCCCTTCTTATGAGTAATTTACTTCATGAAAACCAAGTTCTCCGTGATTTGCTGAAATCTTAAATGAGTTATTTCATGGTCTGGCTGCCTTTTAACACATGAAAGTTTTTAGTTTTATTTCTTGCTTGATTACTTTCCTGGGTTTTAAACCAAGCATATGGCATTTTGGTTAACACTGCTTTTGAAAATCTCCAGTTACTCTGTAAGATATTGAGATATGTGGATGTGCTGTGTGGAGCCTGCTCATTTCTCTCTAAACTGCACACTGCAGCTTTACCTTACCCCGTTTTATTTGAGGTGCAGCACCTCCTTTTGGTTTAAGTCCAGTTTTCTCAGTGTCTTTGGATTTAAAGATGAGACAGCACCATTTTAACCTGCAGTCTGTTGATGGAGCCTCACTGCAGTTTGTTTTCCACAGGTATTTGCACTGCAGTCTTCCCTTTTCCAGCTGGATCCCCCGGATCATGTTCGTCTAGCGATGGTGGATTTTCTGTCCTCCATGGGAAAGGTGTTTATACCACAAGAAGCACAGGTAAATGTAATTGTGGTGTTAGTGAAATCATCTTCAGTCTTTTGATGAAGAGATACACCTTTTATTTAAATATACACTCCATTAAATCCGTATAGGAGTGCCAGGACATCTTGGAGACTTATTAGTGGTCTATGGCAGGTTTATTTTTCATGAAGACATGCTGAGTGCATGGAAGATGCTTGGTTTATTCACTGTTTTTGTTCTCACCAGACTGACATTTAAACCTCTAGGAAGAAAGAACATGTCACCTCCCTCACAGTGATTTGGGGTTTTTTGCCAGACAGGGCAGTAGCACTCTTGCATTTCCCAAACCTGTCTCTTGACCTTAGAGCCATTCTTCAGTAATAAATCATGATGGTAAGACACACACAACTAACTCTTTGCATGTTTGTTCCTCTTGCAGAGGCAGGTTGTGCCCCAGCTGTCATGTCTGTTTGCCTCTCTGCTGGCTGACCAGAGCTGGCTGATTCACCAGCACGCGTTGGAGGCGTTCACACATTTTGCAGAGGTGAGCAGAGCACAACTCTGGGTGCACGTGTTTGGCTCCCGTAACTTTTACTGCACAAAAATTCTCCTGTCTTAAATATCTGCTGCTCTTCATTATGCAGTTTGGGTCTTAGTGTTACAGGTGCTATTGCACACCAAAAGTAATGAGAGCTAGTGCAGTTGGAAGTGATTTCAGGAGCTGAAGTGAAGGAAGATTAAGCACTGGGTGCTTACGTTGGTTGCAAGAGGGCAGGGACTGTCATAGGAAGATTTTTTGCTTTGTCCATTCCCTTGTTAACATCAATGTACTGATCAACTGCTAACATTTCTGACAGGAAACAAGCCATGAAGATGTTGTTCCTCAGTGCCTTAATTCTGAAGAAGCTAAGAACAAAGTTGTTAATTTTCTAGCTAAGGTATGTAAGCTGCTAAACCACTTTACTGCTTTCTCAGTTGATACTGTACACCCATTATGAGCAGTAAACAGCCTGTGTCTACACCTGCATCGTCTGCATGGTGATTAAAAATAAGTTTAAAACAAGTTGTTGTCACTGGGATCTGGTCAAACTTTTCTACTTACTTTAATTAGCAGAATTAACAACTGCCATTCCTATGCACGGTGCTCTTTCAGTACTTCCCAACTTTGGTTTAAATGCTTTGCTTTTTCCTCCTTAAACAAAAAACTTATTAAATTGCAGACAGGGATTTCATCATTTGGTTGGTATGCTTTCCTTCCCCACTTCTCTTGGATGAGTTTCTGAAATCTAAATGAACACGTATGAAACATCTTAGTCCTTTTTTGCATATTAGAAGAAACCCTCTTAAGAGTAGGTGGCTTTTGCTGCAGAACACAGACACTGTGGAAGGGGGTGGATGTTGTCCTGTAACCTAAGGCAGGGCTCTCTGATGAGCAGCTTTTGACAAGCAGATAATTTTCAATAGAACTGATAACTGCCAGTAATGCTAAACCAGAGCTGTAGGTAACTTTAATCTCCTGATCAGAAAAGTGTGTGACAAATACTCTCTTTGAGCTGCACCTTAAACTGTCTCCCTCCCTCCCTTTTGTTCTGGCATGTAAATTGAGCCTATGAAGGTTGGTAATGCTGCCTTGGTTTAGTTACCTCTCCTGTGGTTTTCTCCCTAGAGAAGGCAGGTAGAAGAGACAAGAGCAGCACGAGTAGAACGCACAAAGCAAGAAAGGATTACCTGGAGTGCACAAGTTCTGCAAGGGGACGGAGAACTGGAGTCAACAGGAGAGGTACATGTGCTCCTTTAAACTATCTGGGCCCTACTGTCGATTTCTGTCAGTTCTGGGAAGTCTCTGAAGAGGTTCAAGATGGCCTTGCTGCCCTCCACAGTCTAAAAAAAAAAAGGTCACGAGCACTCCTGGCCCTTAATAAGGCCTGAATGGTCTGTAGTGCCTGCCAGGCAGCAAGAACTCTCACAGGACAAGGGCATCTTGCAGCTCTGTTCTATCTAAGGGTTTTCTTGCACTTGGGTGAGGGCTGATCACTTACACAGAGCACTAAAATGATGTTTGATTTTTACTGAAATCTGCAGCCCCTGGCCAAAAGAGCCTGTCACCCCCCCTCTGAGGAGCAGTACCAGTCAGCAGTGGGCTCGATGGAGGGGGCAGTGGAGGCTGTGAAGCTGCTGCTACAGAAGGGGCCCCCCCCAGCGTGGCTGGCAGTGAAGCTGGAGGCCCTGCACGCAGCCATAGCCACCCTCAGGGACAGCACAAGGTAAGGGCTCCTCGGGGCTCAGACAAGGAGCCAGCTCAGCTCCCTGCAGGGAGGGAAGAGCTGCCTTTGCACCACGAGTGCTGCAGAAGAAAACACTGCACTGTACCTGTGCCAAAATGGACTGAGGGGTGAGATGTCGGCCCATGTTCCACAGTAAGTGGCTGGAAGGAGTTGATGTATTTTAATGGGCACTACTGTGGATCTGAGCTGTCAGTCTGTATACTGCCAATTTTGTATATTTGTTTGTATATTGTTTGTTTTTCTACTGTGTGGAGATAAACATTCCATGATATTGTATTCTGAATACTAAGAGGTTTGAGTCTGTTGTCAAAGTAACAGTTACTTTGTTCCTGTCGCCTACAGGTGACCAGGCAGTAGGTGTTTTTATCTTAATTTTAAAATACACTCAAGAATAACAATTTATAAGGCTCTACACTGTTCTGTGAACATACCTCTGCTGCTGGTTCCACTCCAGGCTAGGGTCATCTCTTAAAAATAATCTTTATTGGTCACAGTTAAGAGCAGAAAGAACACGGTGCTTTAGCAGTTCATGGTCATTCATTGCACGGTTCCTGGCACCACTCGTGCCATCCACTGACAGAACTACATAAACAGAAATAAATAAGTTGAGTAAACTGTACATTCATCTTAAAATCATCTCAGCTAAAAAGTTAAAAGGAGCCATTTCTAAGGGCTTTAATTTTCGGGGGGGAGTGTGGGGAGAAAAAAACCAAAGGAAAAAGGCACATTAACCAAGGAACTCAGTGTGACTTTCATTTATTGTCAGCAGTTTTTCAGGGCAGGGATGAGCTCTGGAACAATCACTTACACCACTCTTGGCCTCCAGTAGCACGCCAGCCCCATCCCACCCTTCACCACCATCCCGCTGTTCCTCTCTCCGGGAGCGGTGGCACGCACCACAGCTGGGCATATTGCTTGAGTGCAGGCCTCACCCCTGCAGGTTTTGGCACAGACTGGGAAGGAGCATCCATGGCAGGAGCTCAGGTCCCCCGGGCTCTCGCTGGCTGTGCAGCAAGTGCCTGCCTTCTGGCAAAAGCAGCACTGAGGTACTTATCCATGGTACTGGGGAAGCAGCGACTCCTCGCACGGGGTCCAACACACCACAAATTGCCTTTGTCTCCTTCCATCCCGTTACCAGGTTGTATCATCTTCCCAGTTCAACTCCTCTTCTTCACCCCAGCCTGTAGCTTCAGCCTAGAATCACATGAAGTTATCAAACATTAGGGCATGTGGACTGTACTTGTGTGCTTAGCACAGCCCCAGGAGCCAGGCAGGAGCCTGTTTGGCTTGGGATGGCAGATCATTCATCCACAATGCCAAAATGCCAAAAATAAAGTGCCAGTAGTTGCAGTTTTTGGTCTTAAAGAACTTTAAGCTACAACAGGAAACTCCTTAAAGACAAAAACAAACTTAAGGGGTAGAGTCTCACACTTCTTCCCTAAAATTAATGCAAGAACTGTTTGTACCAAAACCACTTTCCATTAAAAAAGAATGCTATAAATTAATTATTTCTTTCCCCCCAGGAAACAGCCATTTTCCTGCTGTATTCTAACACTGACACAGCACTGACTGCACTAGTGAGTGACTTTCCTCCCTGCCCCACAAAATGTGGTTGAGATCGTGACAGTGCTTCTGTCACAGGACGCTGTGCCATTTTCAAATGTTGTAAACAACTGCAGTTTACATCTCAGGCCGCTCTCCTCCTGCTCCCTGCTACCCTTGGGTACCTCTCTTGAGGCTGAATGAGCAAAACAACTTAAGTCAACACCTATTCCCTAACAAAGGGTACACAGTCAGGTGGGAGGGTCGGGAGTCTTGCCACCCCTGCTAGGAAACAGCAGCAGTCTCTGGAGTCTCCAGGAAGTGGCTACAGGGATTTACCTGATTTCTTAAAAAAAAATAAATAAATTATAATCCCCTTGATTCTCTGAAATAGAGAAATGTTTCAGCTATTCTTCCATGAAAATACAGCACCCAGAAAACTTTACTCTGTAATCCAGAGGTTCTGCTTTTCTGGTTTTTAATTGACAATGCTTTTAGGTTTTCCTAGAAGAACCAAGAGCAACAGTAAGTCCTGAGCACCCTCTGTGCTTGAAAGGCCCTTCTGCTGGTGCTGGGACCATGCCTATTCAGCAGCCAGGATCCAGCCTTGTTAAGACTCTCCCTAACGAAGTGTAGGATTCCTGCATCCAGGATACAGCAACACAGAGTAAAAGCTGGAGTTAAAACTCCTTAGTCAGTACTTCTGGTAGTGTACAAGTTGAGTCCATTCCCTCACTCTTACTTAACACAGCCCTCTTGCTGCTGTATGAATGGCCCACTGAATTCCCTGGTGCCTGCTAAGGCAGAGCTCAGCATCCTGTAGTCACAGGGAAGGACTCACCTGTAGGGCCTGTGCCCCTGATCCCTGCTCAGGTGTCCACCACCCCACTAAGGGGCTGGCTGGTGCTACAGCTCTGTGTGTGCTGTGTGGGCTTTGGGATCCTCTCAAGGGTGCAGTCACTGACACCCCCTGCCTGGAGCCTCTTACCTCAATCCCATCAGCTGCTGCAAATTTGGATGAAAACAGCACGTTCTGGGAGGCACCCGAGGGACTGGGATCGACTGCTTCTGTTCTGGCCTCAGGTAAAATCAGGAGAGCAGAAGAAGGTTTAATGTCTGGGATCATGTCAGCAAACCAGTCCAGCTCAGGGTCTTGCACGGGTTTCCTCTTCACTTTGATCGTGAACTCTTCTCCCAGGCCGTTCTCTGATGAAGACTTCAACCTCTCCTGAGAGGTTGGTTTTGGCAGCACAGTTTGTTCCAGTTGGTCCTGGTGGTCCCACTTGTCATTGTTCCAGCTGTTCCCAGGGCAGGACTTTGTGGGGGGACTCAGTCTGAGGCTTTTGAATTCCTTACTCAGTTGATGGGTACCTGGCAGAGGCCTCGGCCTTCCAACTGCATCAGCTTGTGTCACAGTGAGGCAGTTCCCTGAGGGCAATTTAGGACTGGGGCTCCTGGGCTCAAAGTCATCCCAGGGCTTCTCATCTACATCATGATCAGCAAAATAAGGTCCCATACTGCCCTGCAGCTCTCGGGGCTGAATTTGAATGTTCACAGTTTTCTCAGTGTCTGTCTCCTCTGGCTCGCTCCAGTCTGGCCACTCCTCTGCTGGCTTTTCAGAGGTAGTCAAAGAGCTCCTGCTATTCAGTGTAGTCATGCTTCCAGGAATTCCATTCAGGGAGGGCTGAGTGCCTTGCTCACCTGGGGAAGACAAAGATGTTACATACTCATTTCGAGAGAGCAAGTGCAGAAACAGAGTTGTCCCTAAAGCTCCTTGAGATCACGGGCAGCACCTGGCATGGGAACCAGCCAGTAAGTGGCTGGAAAGAAAGCTCTCAAATGAGAAAGCCTTGACATCTTCCTGCTTGTAAAGGAGGGAATTCACCTCCAAGCCCTGGGGCAATACACTGCCAGCTGATGAGCAACAGGTGACAGAAAAGGCCATGGAAGGAAACAGAGTTGGCTTGGCCTGTCAGAATGAGCTGACCTGTAAATCCAGGGTATCTGCTGTGATATCTGCTGTGAGGGGGGTGAAAGCACATCACAGAACCTGCCCTAAGGAAACAAACTCAAGGCCACACAGCCAGTCTGTGTACCTCTGCTTCCCAGACAGCCATTCCCTAGGATGTCAAGGGTCACACTCTCCTTCCATCACTGTTGCCTTCTGTGGTTCACTGAATCTTTCACATCAGTACATGGAGAAAACTAACATTTTTCAAGCAACACTTAATTTGTGGAACACTTGACTTCCAAGAAGGAAGCACTAGGACTAGGTTTTACCTGTCTTTAAAGCCAGGGGATTGTCTTGTCGCCCAGAAAGCTTCTTGACAGGTACATTTCCAGAGATGGGGAACAAGCTGGAATTGCTCTTCAAGGGCCGGGAGGTTTGATTTCTCTGATTGCTCACAACGTGACTGGGGGAATCTGCCAGGAGAAAAGAAAAGGAAGGACACAAGTCCACAAGGTGTGTTGTCAGTCTTAGCTTAAACTCCCCCCAGCGTTGGAATGTTCTTATTTACACTGAAGCCTGGCACAGCAATCCGACAGCTGCACCTCCTGATCCATGGATAACACAATACTCCTCTGTTCCTGCTGCCTACAACTCTTGCCAGTACAAAGTTATGGCAACTGTACATGGTCAGTCTTTGCTGAGATGTTCTTTCAAAAAATACACAATGAACAAAGTGATTATGATCAGAGCAGATGCTTTAAAAATGCTGTCTGCCAGCTGGCTGGATCCAAAATCCCAACTGCTGCACTCCATGGCATCACAAATCCCCCGGTACCTGCCTCTTACAAAAGCACTGCACTCAGTCACGACAACTCCAAGCATAAACAAACTCATGACTCTACACAAACCCTCCTCCATGCCTGGGCACAGGCACAGCAGCTCCCAGGAATGAGAATCTCTACCCTGAAGGCTGCCCTCCTGTCACACCTGAGGTGAGGGGGGGTGGTGGGCAGTCAAGGCCATGCTCTGGAGCTGCCCAAGGCATGTTTGAAGGACAGTTTGGCAAGCATCCAGCTGCAGTTCATGCTGGGGAGCTGCAGGCTCTGGTCAGCAGGGGTGCTGAGTCACCTGGGCCGTGTGGGGCCCTGTTGCCACCACCTCAGAGTGGCACAGCTCAGGCCAGCGCTGCAC